TCATTTCCTGGAAGAAGAAAAAGCGATGGATCGGTTTTCTCACTGATCCCAGTTTGTTATGATTAATAAAATACTTGTTGGCGGAGTTTGAATCTAGAGACTCCTTTGATCATTCGTTCTGGAGTAAGTTGACAAACGAGTCTTTCGGAGTAGGAGTAGTACATCTGCAAAAGTTCAGTAAGCAGCTAAGCACACAGCACACGGATTCCTCATGCTATCTAGTCTTATATAGAACTGTTTAATGCAAAAAATTATGGTGTTCTACAGAGATCAGTTTGCCTTCCATGAAAATATGGCGTCGGTAACAAACACCAATGTGAGTCAAAGGGCATTGTTCTCCTAACAATTGTTAATTCAATAACTAGGAACAAAAATACCAGAAATCAAAAGGATGCAGAACCTGATCTTTCCATTTCCTATCCACTTATGATGTGTAGTCAATGCTTACACGCTGCTTACATTTAATAGAAAGTTGTGGCACATGTCCTCTGACGGGTGCCGATCTAGTTCACAATGAACAACGTTTTGCTTAAAGGTTTGATGTGCATTAATGAATTCAAACTCACCCCAGGCTGAGGTCAATTTGCGGCTTCTATCTTCTATCATCACCACGAAATCAGTGAAAGCATATGTAAAATCAAGAAACTTCAAAGTCCTTAAATCATTCAGCAATTGCTCCCAAAGTCCGTACTTGACAGTTATAAAATTTACACCTTCAACAGATGGTGAAGAGAAGAGACGGGTAGAAAACATTCTAGAACCTCCTACTACTTCGAGCAGATTTCCAAAGTCCTTCGTCTTCTGTTTCCGATCCATGCCCTTCTTTTCACGTAGAGAGCGATGCTTGGCAATACCAACAAAATCATTAGAAAGATCATGGATAACGGATCATGGCTAGAGTCTGTGTCGAAAAGGAAAAGGAAAGACAAGTAATAAAAAGGAAATGGAGGCAGGCGAAGACAATTTGTGAGAAAGAAGATAACAGAATACAAAGACAGAAAAGAGTGAAGTTCTTGGACATAGAAACGAGAAAAGGTCGTCCTAGAGTACATTGTGGGGTTTTTCAGAAGTCTGTCACGGAAGCACCTGATCACAAGGGCTACATATGATGTTGTTAGGGTGAGAAAGAGGCAGAGAAGCTTCCATTTGCTCAGTGTGGTCCTAATTATGCTCTCTACTTAGGCAGAGCTACTCTAAGGATCGACTCATACTGCTCAATTCCTAGCACATGGAGAAAAGACACGAATTCAGTGATTCTGTTCCATTAGTCTTCAGAAACAGGCTAGACAACAACCTGATCAAGCAGCTAAGCTATAAAAACGCATAAGGTTGGCGAGTTATGGACAAAATTATTTGGGCCTCGGACGGGATTCGAACCCGTGCTAGCGCTTTCGGCGCGTAGTGCTTTTTATCCCTTACGTTGCCAGGACTCCGCTTGTCCTCGCCTGTCTTGACTCGAAGCTTTGTAGCATAGTAAAGCGCCCCAGTAGATGCGCCATGAATTCCTTCCAGGTTCAGTGAACATCAGTTCTGCATAGAAGGCGGGCAGTAGATGAAGAGATCGGGGTTTTGCACTTAGAAGTAGAAACACTTCTAAAGATGGAGGACTGCAGAAACTGGTTTCATCGGAGCTGGAACACCCCTAAAGAAGATTTCAGTGCAGCAAGGAATATACGGGTTTCTTTTATCCTCGGCATAATTGTATTACTGAATTTATTGTTGACATGAGCCCTTCACGAGGTTTGTAAATATGCTCTCTTAAGCTGACGTTTCCGCAGAACCGCCTTCAATCAGAATCACTTGGGAGCTACGGCCTCATACAAGTTTGGCCTTCCAGCAGAGAATTTAATAAGGGCATATACCGGGAGACGATCAGTAGGAACGGTTTCTCCTAATCGATTCGCCGCGCGCGGCTGTCGCGGACCATTCCTTCGCCGTTATTGCAGCTCTAGCGTTCGATATACACTCCTTATTCTAGACATGATTCTACTGTTAGTCCATTTGTTCCTGTATTTCTTACCTGCTGCTGCATTCTGATATATTCCTTCGCGCGCGGCGACCCTCTTGCCCCAACGCGGCAACCTCGTCTCTACTGCACCACACCTAGCCATACCCAAGCTGACACTGGTCGGTTGGTACCACCGCTTGCTGGGTGGATTATAAGAATCCACAAAGTTTCTAAAAGTGGTTCTCCTTCGATCACCTGCGTGCTTTGGGGGTATCGAACTTCAGTAGGTTGGTGGAGACGTTTGATATTCACATATTCACAGATTGTTATGATCCTTTCAGGCTCTGAAGAAGGCGATTCCGCCGAAACGTCAGCCTAATAAAGCGTATTTACAAACCTCGTAAAGAGTTCAAGACAATGAAATACTCATGGAAGAAATTCCTGAAGTTGATTCAAGGCTCAGAATCGGCAAGGGAATTGAAGAACACGAGAATTCGGAACAGTTTTTATCACTATTCTCGTACTATTATTCACATTGCCCTCTCGTCACTACCATCACGTCCTGTTGCCCTTACCATATTTCCTTCGAAGGCATCGCTAAACCAACCATAGGCTGTACTTTTAGAACCATCACCTCCATGACTTTACGGAACGCGTTTGTACTCCACGAAAGGGAAAGATTTCCCAACCGAATGTGGAATCCTAAAACGGTTCTTCATGGTGTCGTTCCAAAGTGACGTGGTTGTGAAAGAAGCCATTCGCTCAGCGCCTCTGATGTGACATCTGAACAAACAATTCGTGTACGGCTTTATAAGCCAACAATAAATCCCTGCGGAAACCGCAAGTGAAATCATGCATTGTGAGTTTTTCGCTTTTTTGAATTATTTCGAAATTCGTTCTGGCTAAAGTTCTTGTAAACTTGCTTTCATTTAATGACTACGTTTCTGTCTATATAATTCTTCATAGGCATTTAATATGAACACCCAGTTTCGTCTACATATCCCAGCTGTTGCCAGTCTATATAGAGCAACTAAATATAGCAGTTTTGTAACTAAATATAGCAGTTTTGTATGCAGTTGCAGATAAAAATCACCTGCAGATTAAGCACATTCCGATAATCCCTCTTGCAAACAAATCCATAGCTTTCTTTCAGTTATCTTTCCTTCACTTGCTGCTTTATTTTTGCCATGCCTGGGTTCTGCTCCAGCTCTCATCAATGACAACGCCTTGTTGCGACATAAAAGGCAGACGTACTACCTTTGTGGTGTCTATCCGAACCAGTACTATTCTCTCACAGGTAGGTCCTCTTGAAATAATCAGTCAAGTGAAGATCCCACGTTGCTAATAATAAGTAAATGTGGCGAGGCTGCCGATGTCATCAAGTTAATATATAATAGATCACAAAGTTGTGAGAAGGTAGGCTAGTACCAGTGGGTGGGTTCATTTATAGGCACCGTCCTACATCTCATAGGTTAGACACCCTACTGACATCTGAGCACTTCACCTCTCAGCTTCATGTTTTTTCAAATCAAATGAATTGCAATAGGGAATATCAGGGATCCCAGATATCAAAACTTTTCATTGGATTCTATAACTAGCCAGCTGACTTGTGACGCTATACCCCTTCAGAACATTCCAGTATTCCCTTTCCATCCACTTCTGTATCTCGATCTCTTTATGGTGTAATTACTTGGCACAGAATCAATAAAAATACAGTTCATTTCGGGATAATCAATAGCAAGCAGCTGCAACGATTCGGGAGACCCGTACGACCCTTTCATATAGTATGTAGATGCTGTCTGCAACGGTTTCATGAAAGAACGAAATTGGGTGATTCAAGCCCCCAATTTTCGAGGTGAAGAGGATTTAAGTCCTCACCCTTTTCCTCAACCTAAACTGATGGAATTAATGAATTCGCCCCTGGTGGGAGGGGTGGTTTAGTGCAGCTTCCTTCAATTGGATCACCGCCCTTTGAAATTCTACAGGTTAGTAATGCCTTCAACCTAACCAGTGCCTTCGAGACCACAGATACACTTGTCATTCTGATACGATCAATTACGGCTATAGAGTCTCCTCATTTCTTCGAACGCCAAGGTTTTCTAGCGGAAGCAGTTTTTCAATTCGCTAACAAAGCTTTCCCTATAGCAATTGTACAGCTGCACAAACGGGAACCGTTTATTGTCTCTCACAAAAGGATCGCATTCAATGTGAAATGCAGCTTTTGCGTGAGCAACAATAGGTTTCACAGATGGCTTTCTCTTCTGTTTAAACCATTTCATGCCACTAGTTAAGAGCATAAATAGCCTCATGAATTGCGACGCTCAACCAGAAAAGCGTCTCGCAGAAAAGTTTTTTTTGAGTATCTCTAGAGGCATTTGAGAATTTGATCTGTGATCTGGTCAACACACAAATAAATCCATGGCATAAAGTTGGAAATGTAAGCTTGGGAACAAGCTGGGCAAACACTATCGGATATTGGAAGACTAGATCTTCTTTACACGTTTTTGCCATCAAAAAAAAATTTGCCTCAACAGGACAGAGCAATTTATAGCGCTTTTGGGTTCTCCCACCCCTTTCTCTCCCCATTTCATCTAGAGAATCATCGGTTGTTCTCTTGCTGTGAGGCTTCTGTATTGCATGTAGACTTCGCACTGTGGTTCTTCTGTGAACAGCGGCCGAACAGTGCCTTCTGGAGATTGCTGAAATGGACTGTCAATTACTAGTTTGTCTGCCATATATGACTTGGCTTGAAGGTTGATAGAGATGCGTACAGCTCTACACAGCCGAGTATTTCTGTAGCGGCTTACTTCTAGAAGGCATGTCTTTGGCGCCAGAGAAGTTCGAAGGCTACTTGACTATGAGGTGTTGTCACTGGAGACAACATGGGAATTCTATGGAAACGAAACGCTCCTATCGTTAACCAATACAGATAGGCTGTGTGGCCTGCACATGGGTCAAGCTGTAACAATCTGTGTTCATTCCCTGGTGGAATACTCACGAATCGAAGATTTTCAGACCTGAGTAACGTCCAATTACTCTTATTATTTCAGCATGCCAGCCACAAAATGTATGCCCCAATGGTGGCCGTTATTTGAATGTTGGTTGCGTATTCTCTGCTCAATGTACTCCATTTTATAAGTGAGGAAAGCTTTTTTGATAAACTTGATGCTCCCGTCTCGAAAAAAATCTTTCAATTCATTTAAAAACGAATGAGGTCCATTGAAGACGATTTCCAATTCAATTGTCATTTTTTAGTGGTGTATCTACATGCTATAATGGATGTTGCTGTACAGTACCTAGTCCTACTCCACCACCACCATCGACAAGCCGATTTGGTGAGTATATACAGCTGAGATCAGCAGGACTACATCTTTGAAGTGGGACTCGGATCCCATTAAGATCGAAACTGCTTTGCACCCTAGTAGCGTCCGTAGCGAGGCCGTCATCTTGTCAGTGAGACCATTTCATCAATTGAAATGAGGTAATGGGAGGGGAGCTTGTTTCTGATTATTAATTAGAAGGTATGACCAAAATCTCAAGCTGAAATAAAGCTCAATATGAAAAGTCGCGGCGTCAACTAGCCAGAAAACCCACTCTGTATAAGCTGGGAGATTCGAAGCTATGACTGCTAGGTGCATCCACAAAGCCACTTTTGCCTCACATGTTTTCGAACAGCTTTTCAAATTCCATTGAAATGTAGGTTTTCTTTTAGAATTCCATAAAATTAATCAATTCTTCCCTAGTAGGTGATGCGAATCTGTCCTACTTCTGCAGAAAATGATTACTTATAGGATACTGCCCATCTGGGCAGCTCTCGGAAGTACGATGCAGTGGTCGATCACAATGTCAGGCTGGACAGACATGCATGACCGGCCTCTGCTGTACAACCACTGGAAATGAGTGGAATGGTGAGCCCATGGTCCATCTGAGAGTCCCTTCACTTGTAATCATCAGAGTCTTCGACGGCCTTTATGAGATTGGATTCAGAAGCATGTGGCGGTATGACTGCTTTCGGCTCCTGTAATAATGGCGCCTGCTCGTATGGTGTATGCACTGCTTCGAACTACTGTTGCGAATGTCCTGTAGGAAGGAGTAGTGGACGGTGTAACACAAGTGTAAGTAATGATCATTTCATAATTATATATTGAACTCTGTTGCGTACCATTCTTTATGGTCATGTAGTCAAAGCTATTCGAACATATTTACCTCTTTTTATTCAAACAAAATTAATCAGTAGGGAAGGCGCTTTTCAGGTTTCAACTTGCATTTTGAAAAGATTACTACTCCAATTCAGTAGTTTCCTAGCCGTTCCACCCAACTTTTCGAACATTCCGCTGTGAAGGTGATAACTAGCAACACACCTTTTTGGTCTTTTACTAGCTTATGTTGAGAGTCATCTTGCCATTCTAGGAAAATCGCATGCCAAGGTGTTCCCCCTCTCTGAAAGGCCTGGATAGACTACCTTCCAAACCCTCGGAATAGCATTATAAAGAAGAGAACTGAACTGTACCCGTACTTGCACGAATTGAAAAGTTTTGATTGAGAAAAAAGCTCTTTAAATTTAGTCACCATGAGAAGGAATAATTATAAAGCAGAGCTCATTGACAAGCTTCAAATTCACAGCGCAAAAGGGGAATATTAGAGAATGACCATTTCCTATACGGTACTCATCTTAGGGGTATGTAGCTGAAGGGTCAGAACCAAACAAGAGAAAATTTTTGCAGTGAAATAGGGCGGTGTTTAGCAGATCTCCAACTGAGTCCTTTCCTGATTGAGAGTGGCTTCGTGAAGAAAATGTTTATTTCATTCAAAAACTACTTGGAATATCTACTACTGGAAGATGAAGTCTTATTAGATCTCAGAATGATTTTTTCTACGACTTACAACCAATAATCACACTTTTCCTTCTCGACTGAATTCCTATTTCAGGGAACCTGCCCGTACGGTTACACGTGTCAGCCGAATGGATTCTGTTGTCCTCAGTGTCCGAATAATGCGATGCCGTTTGGAGCATGCCGAAACGGAATCTGTGGGGGAGGCAGAACGTGTCGCGCTGGCAACATTTGCTGTTGATCGATAATCGATCTATCTGAAGACGAACGTGCGTCGTGCAAGAAGCAATGACTGTCTGTCAATAATCGATCTATATTTCGAAAAAAGAATCTTTCTTATTCAAAATGTATAAACCTGCTTGACTCTTACGAAAAGCACTCAAACTATTTTCCAACAAAACCGTTTTTTCTGACACTTAAAGTAGAATTGGACCTTTTTGGCTTTTTCAAGAGGTTGCCTGAGCATCGCGGGATTGGACCACTTCGGCTTCGAGTGGGTATGCTATGTGGTGTACAGTTGGCTTAGTCAAGAATTGGAGGCCTCGTTTGGGAAATACTTCAAGTGGATAACTATCTAAAGAAGAGTGAAAGCGATTTCAAGCCTGCAGGTAGTGTTGCAAAGCGAATTTCCGGCGTTTGATGCTCCTAACGACTTCAGACAGCTTCTCAACGGAATTGAATCAAGATCTGATCCAAGAGTGGGAATCACATTCGTCTGTTTTCACTTGAAGTCTCACGAAGCCTCGAATGCCACTCTTAGGCAACCCATTCCACCACCACGAGACAAATTAATTTTTAAAAAAAAGGATTGAAATTGGACTGTTTATAGGCGCTGTAGGAATTGCTCGTTGAACGATTCTTTTTCAGTCGTTTCAGGCGGAAGTGTTACATCTCAAATTCAGTAGGGATAGCTCGAAAACAGCAGTTTCGTATTCCCCTTAATTGCCTTTATTCAAAGAAGTTTGGCTAGTTTTCCTGTGAATGTAGGCGTTTCCACTTCACACATATGTGGTTGTTTATGATAACATTCTGTAAAAGATGTATGTATAACATGACATCTGGAGGTAAACATCACCTACGAATGCCTTTTCTATCTCCGTAGGCTTTGGGATCCTGATTCTCCGTGAAGAGCTGAGCCTTCTTATTCTGCAGAATCTGAATTTGTGAATTCGAGATATTCGAAGATTCCTAATGAACAGGTTCATATTGGTGGGAGCCTGTTGACGTTCTGTGGACCCAATATTGTCTAAAATACCACTCAAATTACGGATGGATCAATAGAAACAAATTTTACAGCAGTTTCTTGATAGACTGACTGACAGCTAACGCTTTCTTCTTTAAACGCTACACATTGCATATTAATATCACTGCCATGAGCTCTGCTTCCAAGCTTTCCTCGCTGACCCTCTTCTATTCGTTTGTCCCCTCCTTTGTGAAGGGTCGCTGGAGGGCTCTTCATTGAATGTTACTGTAACCTTTGAACGTGCTCAAACATCCCTCACCGAAGCCTTTGATGGTTTCCTCTGTTTTGATTTTGTGTCAGAGAAATGTGTAATCTATTATAGCTCGAACTCTCTAGGTGTGAGTAGATATATTCTTAATGGTATGGGGGTTTCGTGATGGCAGGCTGCAGAGATACCCTGGGGACAGAAGTCTTGTTTGTGGGAAAAAAGTTTTGCTGTGAAGCTCATCAGACATCACACGAGATCCTGGCTCCAATTAAAAAAGTCGCAGTCATTTCAGCTATGTCCGAGGAGACACCACTCCCCGAGAAGTAATTTTGTTCCCAAAGCATTGTTTCATTGCACGTACAGCTACTTTTTCAGTGTAGCATTTGTGAAGAGTCATTCAACCTCTATAGCAGAGTTTCTAGTCGTAAAATAAAATTGCCTGAGGGAATGTTTATGTTCCACTTCATGCAATGCTAACTCTTCTCAAACTCGTGTTACTCTAGTACTAATATTGATCCGCGCTATCACGCATCCGTATAATTAATGTCTATGGTTTTTAAATATTTTTGCAAATTCTATGGGAGTTATTTGAATTTTAATGCAATTCGTAGCTAATGTGGTGTGTAAGCTGGCTTTTTCTTCTGTTTTTAGCATTTTTACTACTTTTTGTACTGCAATAACCAACTTAGCGCCCACTCGTTTACTCAGTTCGAGCACAAGATTGTTCTGGTAATAAGTATTTCCCAGAAGTTCGCTATTCAACTTTTTATCACTCTCCCGCTAGAGCGTAGATGAAACCCCTTCTCTCTCGTGAACAAGCTTTGGGCAACTTTGGCAGACAGACATTTTGGCATGCTCTGATTTTGGCAAGTATCTTCAATTTATGCAACCCAGCTACTGTCATCCATCACTAGCCAGTCATCAAGTAATTTTTGTGCGGAAGTAGAGTTATTTTGGTAATGCTGACTTGACGTATCCATCCCATTTCGTATAGTTTGTGTGGAACCCATGCCAATTGAATTTTACGGATTCTATTATAGGTGGGTTGTCGTGGACATGTAATGAAGGTCGTTTTGGTGCCCACGAAATTGCAGCAAATTCTTGATAACTAGTAATTATTTCTGAAAGCAGGACAACGCATGAGTCACCACCCTGGAAAACAGAGGCGTCTGCTAAACTTTCCGGCGTTCTTGTTAGGTGGGATCGTTGAGGCAGGAAGTGAATAGCCTAATGGGCACCAATATGTTAGATAATTTCAAAGTACAGCTGGGATCCTACTATTTTCTGTCCCCACACAATGTACTGGAAAGGTAGCTACTATATGTCTGGATGAAATATATACAGGCCGTTGTAATTTACACTCTTTCCTCTACTGGAGGCCGAAGTCTTTGACCAGTTGACAAGACTACCAGTGATAATTGATGTCACAGCTCAAGCGCTAGCCATCTCAGAAAAGCAAACGAATAATGGAATCAGAGTCTGCAGGCCTTCATGGCCAAGCCATCATAACCATGCCGCGAACCGGAGCGGCAAGTTTACTAACGTTCTCTCTATTGATACCTTGTAAAAAGTTCGAGACAAAGGTCAAAACTCTGAAGTTCAGGCTGTTTAGCCAAGAAATTTTTTCCATGCAGCCCTGCGTACTTCTAGGAGAAATTCGCGAGATCTTTATCATGAGGGAGTAACAGAAACGACGCTTCGCCCTCGTTGCTAAGCATTCGTCATCTTTTTTCATTGAGTCCATTATATTGCTGCAACTTTTTTTTCTCTTCTTACAAAGAAAGTTAGCTGTCAAGGTTATGGTGGCTCTGCTCTCGGGGATGACTTCATTTGAGGATTGGGATGAACCAGCTTTCGTCTGAATGACTTTTTTCCCAAAAATTTAAATACTATGAGAAGAACGTAATTATGAAGATGAGAACTAACAAATACGTCAGCTTTCTCGTTTTACTCTGTGTTGTGTTAACTTATTGACGTAATAACTGTGAATATTAGCAGTTTGGTTATAAATGAGACCAACCTCGAGAGAAACCTTCTAAAACGTCCCTCATGACCTTTTAACCTATTTTATTCTATTTTCGTCTGATACCATTCTTCAAGTATTGTGGATTTCATGGCCGTGTAGTGTAGTTCTTCTCTCTAGGTTGTGATTATAGTCATGGGATCAAATCCCACGTCGATACCCTACTGCAATCAGGCTTCCCCATGGACTACCTCAAATGACTCCATACTCGTCCACGAGTATGAACGCACTAGGACTGTCTATTCTTCGACTTATATTCCGCAGTCAGAAGGGATTCGCTTAAGAGGGTAAATACTCATTTCGCTGTTGCTACCACATCGAGAGTATGCTCTATTTCTATCAGAGTTTTGAGACCAAAGGAAGTGTAACGACAAATAACGAGGCTGCTCAGAAATTCACATTAGCCGATCCTCCGAAAATGTGAATGGGATTTGTTTACAGCAGATTCGTCTGGAAAAAGTGGATTGTTGGCTCTTTACCCCTACATTACTGCAGTTCTTTCATAAGTCTAATACTCATGCGAACATGTGCAGTTATGATTGGGATATCATATTCAACAAAGAATGATTTCCGGACCATAGCAACTATTCTGTTCTCGGTATTTTTTTGCACTCTTCGAGAAAAGTCTTCTTTAATTTTTCTCCTCCAGGAACAGACAGGAGCAAAGCATAGGCAACATGGCCTAAAAGGTCTTTGCTATATTTTCTGTGGAATTCTGAGGCACAATACTGACAAATGATCCAATTTTACCTATCATCTCCGTCGGGAATTAGCTGTCATGGGACTTTTTGCTCGATTTAGTGTCGACTCCTCCTCCGAAAATCCTCTGGAATTTGTGCTTTAAACCGAAAACACCTATCTCAGACATGTTCCTGCATTTTTTCCTCTGCCATAAAATGGGTTTAAGGGCATATTCCACGATGAACATATATTAGGTTGAGTCATAAGTCCTCAGGCAAAATGATAGCGATGAGTTCTAGATATCATAACTCGGGAAAGAGGAGACGAAAGTGAACGCGCGTGGCATTGTTAGATAGAGTATGAAAAGCTCTCCAAACTACATGCTAACGATCACACCTAATTGTTTCCTTTCTTGCAACCATGCCCTATGATTTCAAGCCGTCGCATCTCAACCTCCGCAACACCATCCTATTTCTTTTTTTTATCTAGCCATTGAACCCGCGGAGATCGATAGACGTATTAAGGAAGTTTACAAGAAGGGTGCCCCTGCTAGATACACAATTTACAAGTGGCACATGAAGACACTCAATGGAATTGGATTTGGTTGTGCTGCGGAGCCAGGTGGGAGCCGATCCGTATCAAACTACTCGTGAACTGGCAGTCAACCCGAGGGAGTCAGTTCACAATTATTCGTGGATTGAAGTCAGTCGGCAAGGTGCGAAAGCTCGGTCTATGGCTGCCTTATGCTTTGAAGCAGTATGACATGGAGTTTCGCGTTGACATGGCACTTTCTCTCCTCACGCT